TTTTTTTTTTTTTTTTTTTTTTCTATTTATGTATTTGGTACAGTTTCTCACTATGCAGTTCGGACTTGTAGTGATGCTCCTGTTTTCAGTCTCCCCAGCACTGGGATTATAGATGTGTGCCACCACGCCTGGACTCTGTCACTGGCTCAGTGTGCCAAGGGGTGTTCTTTGGGTGGGGCCGGCGCAGTGTGCAGGACCGAGGATTGAACTCCAGTCCCTGCACTTGCCACAGCAGTCGCTTAGTCTGCTCAGCTATCTGGCCCACCTCTGTTTTTTCTTTTGAGACAAGGTCTCCCTATATAGTTCAGGCTGGGCTCAGACTCAGTATGTAAGCCAGGCTAGGCTCAGACTCTTGGGGATCGTCCTCAGTATCCTGAATGCTGGATTATGGATGTGTGCCACCACACCTGGCTTGTTTCCTATTCTTTTGTTGGTTTACTTTCCATTCTTTTTTTTTTTTTTTTTTTCTCTCTTCAGTTTTAGAGATTGAACTTGGGACCTTAAGCTTGCCAGGCAGGTGCTTGTGCTGCCAAGGTCTCTCTGCAGCCCTTGTTTCCCATTCTTAATGCACCTTCTCTTTGTGTTAACTTGAACAAATTCTGAAGTGAAGAAAATGGGTATTACTAACTAAAACATAGATTTCAACATTAAAGCTTAGTATAGGGCTGGGGAGATAGCTCAGTAGAATAAGCGCTTGGCTGGCAAGTGCACGGGCCTGAGTTTAATCCCCGGTTCTGCAAAAAAAAAAAAAAAAAAAAAGAAGTAAAATAAAACTTAGTATATTTAGTTGTCCCTCACATGACTGCAGATTGTGTGACAGCATCATCTGTGTCTATATATAAACAAAATGAAATGGAGAGGACTGTGGAATGGAAGTGTATTACTTAAAGCAAGCAGCTGCAAGCTTTTTATTGCCATGTGAGAATATGAGTCTGTTGTTCCTGAAACTTAATTTTATCAAGAAACAATAGAAATATCTTTTTTTTTTTTGTTACATCTACTTGTAGTCATAATTATTGTTTTATGTTTTTGTGAGACATAGTCTCACTATATAGTCCAGGCTGGCATCAAACACATGGTAGTTTTCCTCAGCCTCCTGAGTGCTTGTGTCTCAGGTGTGCAACATCATGTCCACCTGCTGCAATTATCATTTTAAATGCATGTGTAGCATTGTATCTTATTGATCTACTATATTTTATTGCAAGAAAATAGTTTTATTTGTTGACTGGGTCTGAGTTTTGTGAACATGTTTGTGGCTCTTGATATGAATTCCTGTATTGTTTTCCTCTAGGGGTATAGTGTTAAAAGCAGTGCATTAGTGTAGTAGGCTCATCAAAGCATTACCAAATTAGGTATTACAATTACTTAAAATCATTTTTTGGTGTAGGTGGCATAAAAGAGTGTATTCTACTTCATATTTTTTAACTGACAAAAGTTATATATATTTGTGGTGTGAAACATGATGCTTTGAAATATACACAATGTAGAATGGCCAAACCAAGCTCATGCACAAATGTATCAACTCATGTGATTATTTTTTTGTGGTCAGAACCCTTCAAATGGTGTGATTTTCAAGGATACAGTGTACTCTTTCTAACTAGAGTCATCATTGTATGTGATCATTGATTTCATGAGCTTATTCCCATTTCTTTTTTTTTTTTTTGGCGGAACCTGGGATTGAGCTCAGACCCTTGCACTTGCCAGGGAAGCACTTATTCCACTGAACTGTCTCCCCGGCCCTTCCTATTTCTTTCTGATTGCTAGTTTTTTGGGTTTAAAATATTAATGTTGCTTTAAGTTTTAATGGTCACAAATAAATTTCTTCCTCTCTTCTGTTGTTCTTTCTCTTATGTAGGAAATTCTGGGTGCATCCCTTTCTGCACCTTTAACTTCCTATGAGGTGATCTATGTGCTCCCAATGCTCACCATTAAAGAGGATAAAGGTAAAGGATTATTTCTAGAAGTATTTCAGCAGTTACTTTCTGGTGGTAGTATTTAACTCCACCCTTTCCTTTCAAAGGCACTGGTGTGGTCACAAGTGTCCCTTCTGATTCCCCTGATGATTTTGCTGCACTCAGAGACTTGAAGAAAAAGCCGGTACGTTTCTGAGTTTGATATTCTTTTTTAAAAAAAAATTTAATAATTAACTGTATTTTATTTTTTATTTTTATTTTTTGGTGGAACTGGGGATTGAATTCAGGCCCTTGTGCTTGCCAGGGAAGTGCTTATTCTACTGAGCCATCTTCCTGGCCTCTGAGTTTGATATTCTTGTTTGTCTTCATCATTTTACTCACTGTTCAGATACCACTGAGCTGCACTATGGCCTTAGGCAAAAAAGATAGGTATTTATCTTTACATTTGTCTATATTCTATTTTTTAATGTTTATAAATATTCTGTGGCTGTAATTTGAATATGTTTGATAGAATTCTGGAGGAGCTTTTAGATAACATTGCAACTGAAAATAAGATCTTTAGCTTAACTTGTATATGTGCATTTTGCATTTGGTTTCAGTTTCATTTCAGCTGTAACTTATGCTATTGAGTTAAAAGGTCACAGATCCTTCTTGAGGTATTTGATGAATATAAAATTTCTGTGGAGTGGAGAACAAATATTTCAAGAAAAGTTTGGAGTTTGTTTCTCTTAGTGATTATTTCAGTGAAGTATTTATCACTATTGTTAATTTGTGAATTGTTTTGTAGGCCCTTCGAACAAAATATGGAATTAGGGATGACATGGTCTTGCCATTTGAGCCGGTGCGTACATGGCTAAATTACAATATTCATATTTATTTATCAGAAAAAAAAAGAGCTAATCTATTTTTTTAACAAAATTAATTTGTGGAGTATGAAAATAAAAAAAGGTATTTTCTTAAGAATTTATTTTAATTTTATGTCTGCTGTTGAAGGTAATAGAAGATAACTGTATTTTTTTTAACCACATGCACCTGTACTTCTGGAACAAATAGTTTTTCACCATCAACTTTATACTAGATTGTTTTCTTATTATAACTGATATCCTGGCTTCTAAAGACAATTTTGTCAAGTTACTCATAAATATTTATTTATTAGTAGCCATTATACAAAATCCCATACAGCTCTTATTTTATGTATTTTTGTGCTTTCTATTTTGTGGTAATGGGGATTGAACCCCAACCTTTTGTATTAACACCCCTAGTCCTTTTGATCTTTATTTTCAGTCAGGGTCTCACTGTGTTGCCTAGCCTGGGCTCCAAGGCAATCTTGCCTTAGTCTTTCAGAGTACAAAGATTACAGGCATATACTCTTGTACTCAGTTCTTTTGTCTTCATATTAATACCTGCAGAAGAAATAAATGACATCCACAGAGAAGCCAGAAGATTTAATGTTAGAAAGCAGAATCTGCCAGGTGTTGTGATGCATACCTCCGTCTTAGCACTCAAGGGCTAAGGTGGGAGAATTGGTTTGAGTTCAAGGCCATCCTAGGCTACAGCGAGGATTATATAGTGAGACTCTGTCTCAAAAAAAAAAAAAAAAAAAAAAAAAAAAAAAAATCACCAAAATAGTTATTCACAACGACTTTGCTAGTTTCAGCTTTTTTAGTTATGCCAGTGGAGGGTTGAGAGCTGGGGGATGTATGTGGGAATTTGTGTAGAGGTTGGCTCCTGTGGAGAAGAGGAAAACAGATTGCCACTTGAAGGTTAGTCAGTGTGTTGGCCCTGCTGTAATATACACAATCTGGAATGGTTTGGTAACAGCAAAGTTCTGACCAAGAACTGAGAAGCACCAAGGTTTAGAGGCAAGAATCGGTTTCATTTATACCAGTGGACCTAACTAGGGTTGTTCCCACAGAAGTTGGGCCCGAAGGCTCAGGGACGGAGGTTTTTATGATGTTACGAAGCACAAGTACAGAGGCAGCGTGGGGATTGGGCCTTATAGTATCACATTGACCAGCCATTTCTGGGAAACAAGTAACAGAAACTGAAGTAAATTGGTGGTTGCTTGGGCAACAGAAACTAAGAGAAATTGGAGTATACTGGTGGTTTACATTGCCAGGGAGCTGACACAGTGCTCCTGAGTGGGTGGGGTGTTTTCCATTACAGTTTCTTTCTTTTTCTTTTTTTTTTATATTGCATATCTACTTTATTCAAACTTTCTGTACCATAAATAGTATTTGTAGAGAATAAATGAACTCTCTTAATTCAGTCGGATTTTGAAATTAAGTTATTTAAATTTTCATGTAGTAAGGTTTCTTTTGGGACTGGGGAGATGGCTCAGTGGAATAAGTGCTTCCCTGGCAAAAAGGCCTGAGTTCAATCCCTGGTTCTGCAAAAAGAAAAAAAAAGAAAGAAAAGTTTCTTTTGCCCTTTTGGGATAGAATACTCAGCCTTTGGTTTAGTTTTTTCTTTGGCACTTGAAAAATTCCTATAGAAAACGTTTGCTGGGTATGATGGTGCATGCCTATAATCCGAGCAATCCAGAGGCTGACAGAAATCTGAAGTCAACCCTAACTACAAAAAAAAAAAAAAAAAAAAGGAGGGGGCCAGTTCTGATTTTATTTTTTTAACAATGTAAGTACAAAGCCTAGTGAAAAACTTTCCAAAAAAAGAAAACTGGCCATCACAGGTGGTTCAGACAGGTATGATTTCTATATACAATTTTAAAAGTCTAAGTAGAGAATCCAGAGACTCAGAGAAACAGCTGTGGTCTGGAACCAAGACCTGGCAAAGGGCCTGG